TATATTAGTTAGACCTTACCTCAGGTATCCCTGAGCCACAGGCATAAGGAGCAAATACCTTCACCAGAGAAACTGCTAAGAAGGCAAAACTCAACGCCCAGAAAATGTACATTATGTAGTTCATTATATATGAACCTGGACCCTAAAAACAAAAATAAAAGGCAGAACATAAATTTGATTAAGGAGCAAAATCATTACTTAAAATAACCCAGAAGTACTCTTGCTGCAAGTACAATTATGCACACATTTTGAGGAACAGTAATTCATACCAAGCGAAGAAAGAGAGAGTTTTTATTTGAAAAGCATAAAGCCATGACACCTGCACATCAGCAAAGACTGGGTTATACAAGGTAGAAAGTGCTCTAACACTTCATCTTAAAAAGAAAAAATAAACACAGTGCAGGTATTTTTTTAACAGCTATTAGCTGCTGAAATCTACTGAATACTAAGTAAATCTTTATTTAAAAAATGTTGTGGTAGAAAAAATAAAACCCATCTTTTTTAGTTATCAGAGAACACCACAAATTTCATTTTTATTTTTTATGTATAGCTATGATCAAGAATAGAAATTCTCATCAACAGTTCTACACCCTCATAACTTCCTTACACCTGCAACATGCCGAGCCCCCTCACAGTACATGAAACACGTATTTATTACACTACAGACTATTAATCAATTCAAATGCTGAAAAATGGAGCAGACAGTACAACCCAAACCTGTGTTTAGTACCCCAACCTTAAAACCGTTACTGTCTTTCCATGTTCAGTTGAGATGCTGAGCAAGACCATCAGAGAATGGGTATATACTTACTTCTGCTTGCCCAATTATTAGTTCTGCCCATGTTTTCCACTGTGGACATTTATCTCTCTCTTCAAACGTGGACTCGTTTGAATCCCAACAACACTGTTCATGGTTAAACCACAAAGCACTAAGGCAGATGCCTTCCTTTAAGTCAGTCATCCAGTCAGCAGCAATGTCAATCAATCCTGCCAATGCCCCTGTTGTAGAAACAGTTTTGAATTAATTTTCTGACAAATAGGAATTACGCACACAGTTAAAATGAAGAAATGTGCTGGTATTAATTGATGTAAATTGAAATTACAGAAAATCTAAAGAAACATACATTTAAAATACTGGTGATCCCCAGGAATATATTCTACTTGCAATATGGTAATGAAGAGACTAGTACCAAATTTCCCAAGTTGAATGCATCTTTTTTTTTTCCTATTAGTTACATAGTTTCCTGTTAGCCAGAGTTCCAGCATTCCACTGAAACAAAGGAATTAATAATCAAGAGGACTGATACATTCTCGTAATGAAAAAACCAGACCTCCTGCAAAAGTACCTTGCCATGCCTCAGAGAACTCATGAACTATTCTACGACGTATTACACAGAACAGCAGATTTGGAGAAATAATTCTTACCTTACCTTAAAACAACAGTTTTAGAACAACATAAAAAAAATACCAAATAAACCATAATATTCATGTGATCCACATAGAAAGTTACTTAAATTCTGTAACACGGTGAGAACACCATGTAAAATTAATATAAATATAAAATAACGTAAAATTCCTAAAAAAAGGTAATGAACAGTATAGATACTACGCAGTTCACAAAGTCAAAGCTTAAGAGGGATTCTGTGTGGTAATTTCACGCAGAAAACTTGCTGAAGAGTCCTTAAAAATTAGACATTACTTAGGAAAGTGCCTCAAAGGATTTAAAAAATAAAAAAGTAATTTTAAACCCCCCCTTTATTTTACAAAAACAAAACAGTTTTTCATGGTAGCAGTATACTGAAAAACTACTTCTAAAGTCACTATTTTTGTGAATATGTACAACTTAATTAGTTATAATTTACTATTTTTAAGGTATTAATCACTACAAGAAGCAGCTATCCAGAGACAGCCACAATTCACTTGTGTAAATTTACTTGTAGTAGAGAATTACCTCCAATTTACTAATTTATATTTACTAATCTTGACAGACCCTCAGTTTGAGATCCTGGGCCAACCAAAGTCAAAGTCAGAAGTAGTATTTCAGTAGAACAAAATTTCAACCGAATTAAAGTACATAAACATAAGATCTCCCCATGACTGAAATCAAGGTTATACCATTTAAGGTTCACCAGGCACATACAACAAGGAATTGAAACTGAAAAACCCAGGAATGATCAAGGACAGAATTTGCTCGCTTTGTTGCTCAGAAACATAGTAAAGCAATTTTAATACATAGCAGCTTGGGGGTGGAAACACAACACTGCACATTCCCAACAATTTATCACAAGCAATTTCCAGTAACTACACATTCTCAGTTTGTACATTCAGAGGTATATAAACACTCTATGAATTTTGCATATATATTTATTTATATGCAATTTGTAAAACTGATTACATAGATTCTAAGTAGTAATTATACAGTCACCCATGCCTTTTTAACAGGTATAGCTATACTCTGCAACTAATCCAATTTTCCTAGCATTTAATCTAAGATCTCTGGTTTAAATACTTTTTTTTGGAAAAATTGGGCACAAAGTTTATGACTTCTCACTCCTGCACATTTTGGTCACTCCAAACTAGGCTGACAGAAAGCAGCACTGCATGACAGTGGGGCCACAAACTATCAGGTGACTTTAGCTGTAAAACTCATCTTAAAAATGAAGCGAAGGCCAACAAACCCTACCTGTCAAAGCTAGTAATTTCTGTGTAACAACCTCTACAAAGGCACGACAAACATATAGCTAGACTTTGCTCATGTATAAACATGTGCTTTACAAGGAAGTATGTTTACCAAAACTACACATATACCACAGGTACTTTTTAGCCCATATGGAATAAGCTAATGGGTTCAGCAAAGTTCCTAGCAAAAAACCCAAAAACAACAACAAAAAAAAAACTACCAAAAAACACCCCCATACACCAACCAAAACCCCCCAAACAAATTCATAACAGAAAAATCATCTAGCACAATCAATTAATGCACTTTCACAAGAAAGTCAACTGGAAAAAAGCAATATTTAACAGAAAGAGAAAACACCAATCTCAATCACAGGAATCAAGAACATTGACAGTTTAGTAGGTGGAAGTTCAACAACTCTGAGAAACTCTCACTAAATTCAGTGAAGATTTTGTTTTCCATTTGATTAGTAAACCCTTCCCTCAAAACACTCAAGTCTGTAAATCAAGATAGTCAACCTTTTCCTTCCCTCATGGAATTATGGTAGTAACCTGAACCAGCTCTTATCCAGACCGGTGGATGACACACAAATGAAAAGCACAGTAACCATACTCGCTGACAAATGCAAGAAAGAAATCCTCTAGTTTTTAATTTACCTGATGCCAAACCAGTTAGCGTGACTACCAGCCATCCTGACCATGCATCGTACAAACTTTTTGTCATCTCCCATGCTGATTCTTTCTTCTTGCTGTTAATCTGCAAAGAGAAATCGTTATGTGTACTCGTGTATGTGTTTCTGTAATATGAATAGGAGAAAAAAAAACCTGCATGATGCAAGCTGCAGGCAAATATACCCCCTCTCTAAACTACAAGCGTCCTCCATGTATTTAGTGCTTTATGTAGATGTATCAGCTTCGTTATTCAGACATCAAAAAATTGACAGAGGAAAGTAAATTTGCTTAATTTAAAGAACTAAAGCCCAGGAAATGCATTATTAAGATAAATTATTACTCTCTATCATATGCACCTAAAATATGCAGTTGTAAAATTATTTCTCTCCTAAATCTTAAATTATTTTTATTGAACCTCAAACAGACTGTTAGTGTTCTATAAGCTATTTCATACAATTAAAATTCCTAAACGTGTTTCAAATATAAACATCTTTCTTTTATCTTTAAATTAAAAACCACACAAAAATAAAACAAACCCAAAAACTGGATAACTACCTTATAGTACTTCTAGACAACTATTACGATTACAAGTTACTGCACTGAAAAAAACAGTAATTCTTATTTTAGCCTTATTTACTTTACTTTTTTACACTTAGCTGAAATTTGTGCATTACTTTTTTTTTACGATTAAACCTTCATTATGTAATTGGATCGTATTCTTATGACTTTTTGATACTGTAAAAGGAGGGAGAAAGCAAGTGCAATGAACAGGAGAGGAAAAAAAAAACAACCAACAAACCAAGAAAGAACAATACTAGACAAGGAAATCTAGAAAACAATGCCACCCCTAAAGCAAATAAACATATTTTCTAGTTTCCTCTACATTTGTGAGATTCTCAAATTTTTTTTTAATTAAAAAAGTTGTCCCTACACTAGCATGACTTTCAAAACCACCATGAACTAGTACTCATTCCTTCTTTCTACACCTTGATTACATGTCCAGATAGCCTCCTATCATTCAGGGCTTATTTATAAATTTCACAGGAGTTCTGTGACTATAAACAGTGAACTGTCTTGTCTGACTTTTCTGGTCTCTGACATCAAAATAACAGCCGTGAGACTTCACCCTAGGTAACCTCCTTCCAGGTGTGATCTGGCTTGCCAGGCTTTGGTCAGGCCCAGCATTCTACCCAATGGCATATCCACTGGACACTAACATACACATCTGCAGTGTACAGATGGCGTTGTGTTAATTACTGCTTAGACATCAGATTATGGAAAATATTATACGGAGAACACCTTCTTACTTTTCATTAAAAGCATTCAAACAAAGCAATGTTCTCAGATCCATTGTGCAGGATCTCTTTTCCTTAAAAAAGCACTAGACAGTGCAATTGTGTGTGTTTTGTTTTTTAAACTACTGTAAGGGTTTTTTTCCCAAGCCATGTCAAAGTGAATCGGCATATACATCCTACATTTGCTTCCAGAAATTTAAAAATGGTGTTTCCAAAGAAAGCAGAATAACGCTACAGTGTTGTACGTGAAGAAACCTCTCCCCTGACCCCTCCATACAATTACAATTCATTTTTAACTATTCATTTTGATGAGTTAAAAATATTTAAGTAGAAATCACATCTCCCAGTCTGTTCCATTTTTAAAGTTAATGTAAGCATCCCAAAAGTTTGGCAGTAAGGCTCTAAACAGCATATTTCCTCCTAAAATGCTATTAAACAAGTCCATTACATGAACGACAGTATCTAGCATGTTACTGACTAATACAACTTGAGCCCATTTCATGAAAGAACTCGTTGCAGAGCACACTGGTAAGGATGAATGGCCTGAACTTTGAAAATCTTCTGAAGAAATCAATAGAGAAGAGAAAAGCAAGATCTGAGATGGCAGAGTGGAAAGGGCTTTTAACATACATATTGAGACTGCTTTTTTGTTAAGCACATATACACCAATACAAGCAGTTTAGATGTGAGAATTTTCACTTTCCATAATCCAACCAACTGCAGCACTACAGAGCAGTAGCACTGATACACTTGTGTCAGTGTAAACACAATATATATCAGTGCTCACTTTGCTGTACAAGTACCACCACAGGCAGTATTGCACTATTACAAATAACTCTACACTGGAAAATAGCCTTAAATATACTAGTGTGCAAAAAAGGCAGTACTGTAAAAATGTCATTTGGGTGATGGGAAACTATTCCCACTCTATTAATTACTGTTCCCTTTCCAAGTTATAATACTGTCGTAGGACTGCAGGTATGAATGAAACAGTGCTTTTTTAAATAGCATTCGAGTAGTTCTAGCTGATGTAACTACTTAACAAATTTAAAGTATACACATAACATCAGATCTTAATTCCAACATCCAACAAAAAATACTGTCCAAGTATTGTTATTTATCTCAAGTACCCGTCTATGCCTTTCTCTGTCTTTGCACTTCTCTCGAACCCAGTCAATGGTATGGAAGTCATCGTATGTTCCTACTCCAGGAATTGGTTCATCCAGAAGATCCAGTAAATGTGTTGAACTGTTGATGCTTCCTCCATTTGTCATTGTATAATGAGTTCCTGTGGCAGAGGAAAGACACGAATGAATTAATTCTGCAATAAACAAAGTTATTCTAATGTACATAACACTACAGCATATAAAATGTCTGAGCAAGTAATTAAGACACTTCCCATAATACGCATATTTTACTTCATTTAGGTCTTTCAATGTTGCTTGTCATTACTGTTTTCTGTCACTCATCTGCAGGTTAAAAATGCACGTCAGTGACTTTGTATTTCCATTGGCTAAATATGAATGTACTAGTCAAACTGTTGCTCTGTTTTGTGTGCAGACTCCACAGAAACTTCAACAGAACAAAGTGGAAAAAATCAGCAGCTTTGACACACATTTATTCTGAAGTTTATTTCAGTTTATGAAGTAACAGAGGAAAATCTGAGTGTAAGAAAACAAAACCAGATGATTGAAGTCCACAGCACTTCCGTAAGTTGCCAGTTGTTTTTAAATAGACACACTGTTGATTACCAATCTGTCCTACATGTCTAAACCAAACCTAAAATACATTATCAACAGACTACTGGTGCAGCTAAAAGGTAACACAAAGCCAAGCAAATACTCTTCTTTTTTTTTAAAAAAAAAAATAAATATTTATTTATTTCATGTAACTCACAGAACAGCCCTCGGTCATGAAAAGCTGGAAACACTGTATAAAGAAAATGTCTTCTAGTTTCTCATCACTAGCTAGCTCCTTCACAAATAGCTTGCACAGCAACATCCTCAACAGTATTTCCTTCAGTGACCAGAATAAGAGGATCAAGAGGAGTACTGAGAATGTTTCCCTCCTCACAAGTGATCAAGAAAGTTGAGGGGTTTTTGGTTGGTTGGTTGGTTGGTTTGGGGTTTTTTTAAGCTTTCAAATATAATCAATTCTCTAATATCTTGGCTTTTTTTGAGTTCCTGCAGTGTATTTACAGACCCCCAGCACAATTCTGCTGGTAGCTGTCTAAATACAGCATAGCCACCATTTGCCAACCCAGCACAAACTGCTTCTGCAACAGTGGGTGCTATAAAGGGAACACTTATAATGAGGTTAATATAGACAATGATTTAAAGAGTGATTACTCCCATTTGTTTGACCAAGAACAAAATTAATTGGCCTACAGCATATGGCACACCACAATAATCTCTGTTCTTAAAGATGCAGGCCCAAGTTGGCCAAGGCTTCTGTCAGTTCAGACAGACAGAACTAGGACTCATTTCACTAGGCTGACACTGGGATGGTCAGGCAGGTGGGATGTATCTTGAGTTGGGTTTTCTTAGTGTTTTGTTTTGGTTTTTAATTGCAGGCTCAGCTTCTTAGTGCTGTCAGTAGAAGTTTCCAGCTTATCAAAACCAAAAATAAAAGGTCTTCAACGGGCCTATCTGTAAACTTCCAAATGCTACGAATGTCGAGTTCACCAGCCCCAGTTCTCACCAACAACTGACAGTTAGATTTATAGATAGGTAAAATGTGCCTTTTCCCTTTAAATTTGTCAAGTCTGAGATTTAGCAGAAGCAGCGTGACACCTGGCTTCTACTCAGATCCAAAGGTGTGCCTCAGCCATCTATTTCTTGGGAGGTCTCATTTATGCCTGCTATATAATGCAGTGTTTATTTGGACATATTCTTAGTGGTGAAAGACAACACACAAGAAAATAATACAAAAATCCTATTAAGAAAAAATGCAATCTAAAATTTTCAAGACACACAAACTATTATTCATTACGTATACACACTACATATAGAAAAGCTTAAAATTTTGTAAAAAGATTAGGGTTTTTTTAAAACCTTAAGTCAAAGAAGAGAATGCAAATGCAGGAGATAACCCCTCAACGATGCCAATACCATTCACTCACACCAGCCTGGCTGCCATCTTTCCTCATACTGTTTTTTTCCCACCAGTCTGTGTCATATTAAATTCCCCCTCATCTATTCACCACAGCTAAGCCCTGTAAATCTCTTCCCAAAGCTGCTGCTAGTCTCTAAGGCAGATGTAAAGCAGCATTACCTATGCTTCCATTAATAAAAGGCTAACGACAACAAACTAAGTAAGATTCTCTAATAGAGGTGATTGTGAAAACCTTGCTTTAGGATAAAGGATTCAATTTTCTTGCCATTTCTAATTCTAGATAAACTAGAAAGGAAGTCTAAGATACAAGTCTGGCTAGCTGAAAGGGCAAGCCCATCTTGTGGAAGAGGTAGTAACAAAATTCACACTGTAATGACTAGTTTTGCTCTCAAAATTAGAAGAATAACAGACTACATTATGAAAATGTTATTTTTACATTAAATTAACCTCCTTCGCAAAGCAAGGAGACATAAATTAAATTCAGCTAAAGTTTAATTATTAATCTCCTACAAAGTTACATGACCGAGCAGTTTCCTGAACCTGAGTGATCACAGTAGGACAAAAGCTTGCTTTTAGCCTACAGGAGTTTTACGCCCTGCTATATCTGAAGCAGTATCAAGCTATAAGGAGCACACAATCCTATGCAATACAAGGCAAAGGAGAGTTGAGAGTTATAAATGTATCACAAACAGGTGATTTAATGCATATCACAAGGTGCTGACTTGGAATTCTCTCCAGGGAAATGATCGGGGATGTCACCATACTGACCCCAAACCAAACCTGAGTAGACTACAAAGAACGGTCACTGCCTGGATACAATAAAAATCCCACTGAAACTGCATCAGGTTCCTACTTCGCCAGCACTTGTTGGCACACCAAACAGTGGAATATAAATGATTACTGTATGATGGGGAGGAGACACAGAACAAGACGAGAAGCTGAGAGGCGGTATTGCTGAATACAGAGCTGCCGTGAATGCCTGACACAGCCGAATAGCCGTAATCTTGTACCAAGTGAGGAATAGGCAGCAGTGACACCCCGCCATAGTGTGTGGTAGAAAGGCTGCCCTATAGATGACTATGAAGCGGACAACTGTAAAAAATCTGACGCTCTGTAGCTAAGACACCTAAGCCTGACAGCAGTGGGAGAGGACATTCTCCAGCTAGTATTATGATCTATGTAGCATATAACTATTCTAAAGGACAATTTAGAGCAATATACCTTTACCAATACTCAGTACTTTTCCAAAGTTCCACTTCCCTTCCTTCTCTACCATTTCACAGCTATGACAATGATTCTCAGCAGCATAAACACATGCAAATTCTCATAATTTATTGCCAGTTTTATCGAAGTGTTATTAAATTTATTTTCAACTCAACAGATTTTGTTAAAATCCTTACCATAAGACAGATTTTTCATCACAACATTCTAACCTTCTAACCAGGAAATCATCATTACCCTGATAAATTGTAGCATTTAGCAAAGGTAGCCTTCTGGACATTCTCAACGCTCAGAAGGTATTTCTCCTTCCTTTCTCCCCCTTTTCCCCAGTCCTCGAGTTTCAACACTCCTTCTCAGGCTACAAGTCAATGCAAGCACTTTTCATCAAAATACAAGCAGCCTTAGAACCTTACAACCGCAACAAGCACTTAGCGCACACGGTATAGAGTCACAGCCTCTAGCTATGATGAGACAACACCTCCATTTTCTGTACATGCGCACCCGAGCCATTCTGCAGCTGTAAAGAAAGCCAAGCCTTCTTTTTGTTAGGTGTGAGTTTGCTTAAAGTTTTATTAGACTGGGAAGCAGATGGTAAAAGTGGCAGGCAGAACTTTTATTATTACTGTAACTCCAGACTAACCCATGTTACTGCAGGGAGGCAAACAGTAATATACTGATCCTCCCGAAGGCTCAGTACAACTCACAGGAATCCTTACAAAGCAAATTCAACACAATCCTTCCACACTTCACAAAACTAAGGTAGCTAGCATCCCTTTATTAGTGCACTCCAACAGTATCTTTAACAATCCTGTGTTTTCAACACATAACTAGCAAGCTGCTGCAATCACAGACTGCAAGCTTGAAGATAGTAAGCTTCTAAACAACAAAAACAACATGCTGCTTCAGAGAAAGGAGATTGTCCCTTTTAGCTGATTCAGTCACCGTAGGTCTTGCCTGAACTACCTTCTAGGAAGGCAGCTGACTTTTGTTATCCTTCCATGCATGTAATTCCAAGCCTTCAGCACAATCTTTTCTCAGCAATCAGCTCTGGTAGTGCTGAAGAACTGCTTCAAATGAAGTTGTTAACCCAAAAAAAAACCCAAGAAAAAACCTAATAAAGAATATTGCATCATGTTGAAAGAAAAACGCTGTAACAAGCATCAAGTTTAACAGTAAAACACCGTACTTTGGGACACCTGACCAGAATAAGGTACAGTAAAAACAATCAAAAAATGCTACATGGACAAAACTGGAGTAAGAGAAGTGGATTCTAACACCATAAAAAAAGCTCTCATCTCTGAAGAAGTGGAGGGTTCCTTTTTTTTTTTTAACTGAGAATTAAAAAAATAAAATCCAAAATAACTTGAGATGACACTATGCCTGACAGAAAAAGTAGCCTTTACCATACTGCTCTCCTTCATTTCCCTCTGAACACAAAGTTATACTGCATGTCTGTTAGCTCCCAAAACTGAGCCAGCCTCCTGCTCTGCTTAGCTAGTCCCTCCTGACGTAAAGCAGGAACAAAGAAATTACAGAACTAAAATTTTGCTATACTCACACAAGTTCTTTTACACATTACAGATTCCTCCTTGCCTTGTGTCCCCCCTGAAGGAAGGAATATCTCTTCTCTCGTATTCTATATCTGTGCCTCATATGAGCAGTCTTCAATCTTGATTGATGTTGGAACCATGACAAACGTGACAAAAAGCTGATTTATGTGGATTACACACAGCATTTTTCAGGTGCCATGCACAGCGTTTTCAGAGGCTGCCTATAGTAGTGATCCCTTGTCCTTTTGTAACTCAGTAGATTTCTTTCAAAATTGAAAGCAACCCTGGGCAACATGCAGCTGATGAAAGTAATGGTTTTTTAAAGAAAAATGCCTGGTTAGTTTTTAGCTAATTCATTTAAAAAGAAAAAGATCATGTCAGCAAGGACCAATACCTTTCAAAT